GGCATGCCCGATTGAGATCGGTATAATCAACACACATCCGTCATTTTTCATTATTCTTTTTAACTAGTACAACATTTGACAGCCAGGTTGAATACCGGACTTCAGAAATAAAATTCGCCTCTAAGAGGTCTTTTACAGCTTTTTCAGCAGCCTCCGTTTTCTCCGGAGACTGCCTACGCCTACGTTGTACTACTGCCTTAGCGGCCGGATCTATGGCGAGACGGTGACAGGCGACCTCGGGGTCGAGTCCGGGCATCTCCGCGGCGCTCCACGCGAACAAGTCAGCATTCTGGCGCAAGCAGGCTTTGATCTGCTTCCTTGCCAGGTCGGGGAGGTCGATACCAATCTTCACTCCTTTGCTTGGGTCCTCGCCGAGGGGGACGAGCTCGAAGTCCCCGTCCGGAATTGGTCGGAGGGGGATTTGCTCGTCGTTGGGAGGTTCGTCTTGATCGAAACGGGTATCCAGAGCTATGGAGTCGACCTTTGGGGGAGCTCTCTGGTCTTCTGCTTTGACGGGCTCTGATTTGTCGGGCTCCTATCGTGTCGTCGCCGGTCTCTTGGCGGGCCTTGTCCCAGTGTCGACCGTGTCGCGTCCCTTGGATGCGGCGTTGAAACACCTTCGAGCAACGGCTAGGTCCCCCTGGATGGTAGCAACCCGTGCCCTCTTGGTGTAGAACTTCATCTTCAAGTGGACGGTGGAGGGCACCGCGGTCAGCTCTGCTAGTGTTGGTCTTCCCAGGATGCAGTTGTAGAGGGACAGGCAGTCGATGACGAGGAAGCGCACCTTGACCTGCCTCGTCGTCGTGCCCTCGCCGAAGGTAACCATGAGCTCGACATATCCCCAAATTTTGGAGGTCGAGCCGTTGAATCCCTGTAAGTCCGACCCCACATACGGCGAGAGGTGCGAGTCGTCTAGCTGCAGAGTCCGAAATAATTGACTGTACATCACGTCGACGGAACTTCCTTCGTCGACGAGGACGCGGTGCACGTCAAAGTTAGCCATTCTTGCTCTTATCAGCAGAGGAATGACCGCGTTGGGGGCTCCTCCGGGGAGCTCTTCGAGGTAAAAGGTGATAGGCTCCGACCTACCTTTCATCCTTTCAAAGGTCACCGTCTGAGGAGGTGCCGAGTCGACCAGTTCATCCAGCTTTCTCTTGGCCGAATTGATGGTTAGATCGTTGAATCCTCCACCATTGACGACCATGGTGGAGGGAAAGTATTCCCACCTCCTGTGTGTCGTGAGCGGCTTCTGCAGGTGTTCGTGGAAGTAGAAGTCCTTCGGTCTGGTGACGGAGAAGGCGGTCTGGATGGGGACCGATTCGTCAGATGGTCGGGCGTCCTCCTCCGGTTCTCTCGTCACCCGGGCGTCGCGACGAGGAGCGTCGTTTCGCCGGTATTGGGCGAGCCTCCCTCCCTTGATGAGGGTTTTGATGGCGTCCTTGAGGTGGACGCAGTCTTCAGTCAGATGACCATGGCTACTATGGTACTGACAGTATTTGCTCTTGTCTACTTCGGGCTTGGCAGGAGCTGGTCGAGGGCGCTTGACGCCACCATCTTTGAAATTCGTGCTGGCACACTCCGCCAAGATGCGCTCGCGGGAAGTTGTAAGCGGAGGGTATTCTGTGAAACGCCCCGAGGGTCCTCTCTGTTCTCGGACTTCTCGGGGTCTGTCCTCTTTTCTTTTCTCCCTGGTTCGTCGAGGAGGAGCGGCCTCTTGGCGCGGGTTGCTGCTGGATCCGCGAGTTCTGGGGTCCCGGGCTCTGTTGGCCGCTTCCCTTTCCTCGTAATCCATATATGCCCGGGCCTTCTCGAGGAGAGCATTGAATGTTCGGAGTGGTTCGATGACCACCGCCTTTCTGAATTCTGTGTCGGGGAGGAGCACCCTCTCCAGCAAGTACCTTTTCATGTGGTCCGCGCAGGGGACCTGTATGGCTTCGCGATTGAAGCGATTGATAAATTCTCTCAAGGTTTCATCCTGTCTCTGGATGATGGCCCCGAGTGCTTCCTCGGTCTTTGGATGTCGCCGAGACGCGGTGAACGAACTTATGAATTGATTCTTCAGGTTTCGCCACGAGGTGATTGATCCCGGGGCGAGACCTTTATACCAATCCATTGCTGCCTTTCTGAGAGTCGTGGGAAACAACCGACATTTGATGGGTCCCCTGACATTATGGTAATGCAGCATAGCCTCGAACCCGTCTATGTGGTCGACTGGGTCCGCGACTCCGTCGTATTCTTTCAGATGTGGAGGCTTCTTCATGCTTTGACGGGCTCTGATTTGTCGGGCTCCTGTCGTGTCGTCGCCGGTCTCTTGGCGGGCCTTGTCCCAGTGTCGATCGTGTCGCGTCCCTTGGATGCGGCGTTGAAACACCTTCGAGCAACGGCTAGGTCCCCCTGGATGGTAGCAACCCGTGCCCTCTTGGTGTAGAACTTCATCTTCAAGTGGACGGTGGAGGGCACCGCGGTCAGCTCTGCTAGTGTTGGTCTTTCCAGGATGCAGTTGTAGAGGGACGGACAGTCGATGACGAGGAAGCGCACCTTGACCTGCCTCGTCGTCGTGCCCTCGCCGAAGGTAACCATGAGCTCGACATATCCCCAAGGTTTGGAGGTCGAGCCGTTGAATCCCTGTAAGTCCGACCCCACATACGGCGAGAGGTGCGAGTCGTCTAGCTGCAGAGTCCGGAATAATTGACTGTACATCACGTCGACAGAACTTCCTTCGTCGACGAGGACGCGGTGCACGTCAAAGTTCGCCATTCTTGCTCTTATCAGCAGAGGAATGACCGCGTTGGGGGCTCCTCCGGGGAGCTCTTCGAGGTAAAAGGTGATAGGCTCCGACCTACCTTTCACCCTTTCAAAGGTCACCGTCTGAGGAGGTGCCGAGTCGACCAGTTCATCCAGCTTTCTCTTGGCCGAATTGATGGTTCGGTCGTTGAATCCTCCACCATTGATGACCATGGTGGAGGGAAAGTATTCCCACCTGCTGTGTGTCGTGAGCGGCTCCTGCAGGTGTTCGGGGACGTAGAAGTCCTCCGGTCTGGTGACGGAGAAGGCGGTCTGGATGGGGACCGATTCGTCAGATGGTCGGGCATCCTCCTCCGGTTCTCTCGTCTCCCGGACGTCGCGACGAGGAGCGTCGTTTCGCCGGTATTGGGCGAGCCTCCCTCCCTTGATGAGGGTTTCGATGGCGTCCTTGAGGTGGACGCAGTCTTCAGTCAGATGACCATGACTCCTATGGTACTGACAGTATTTGCTCTTGTCTACTCCGGGCTTGGTAGGAGCTGGTCGAGGGCGCTTGACGCCACCATCTTTGAAATCCGGTCTCTTGTCTACTCCGGGCTTGACAGGAGCTGGTCGAGGTCGCGGGAAGCTGTGAGCGGAGTGTATTCTGTGAAACGCCCCGAGGGTCCTCTCTGTTCTCGGACTTCTCGGGGTCTGTCCTCTTTTCTTTTCTCCCCGGTTCGTCGAGGAGGAGCGGCCTCTTGGCGCGGGTTGCTGCTGGATCCGCGAGTTCTGGGGTCCCGGACTCTGTTGGCCGCTTCCCTTTCCTCGTAATCCATATATGCCCGGGCCTTCTCGAGGAGATCATCGAATGTTCGGAGTGGTTCGATGCCCACCGCCTTTCTGAATTCTGTGCCGGGGAAGAGCCCTCTCTCCAGCAAGTACCTTTTCATGTGGTCCGCGCAGGGGACCTGTATGGCTTTGCGATTGAAGCGATTGATAAATTCTCTCAAGGTTTCATCCTGTCTCTGGATGATGGCCCCGAATGCTGCCTCGGTCTTTGGATGTCGCCGAGACGCGGTGAACGAACTTATGAATTGATTCCTCAGGTTTCGCCACGAGGTGATTGATCCCGAGGCGAGACCTTTATATCAATCCATTGCTGCCTTTCTGAGGGTCGTGGGAAACAACCGGCATTTGATGGGTCCCCTGACATTATGGTAATGCAGCATAGCCTCGAACCCGTCTATGTGGTCGACTGGGTCCGCGACTCCGTCGTATTCTTTCAGATGTGGAGGCTTCTCCATGCTTTGACGGGCTCTGATTTGTCGGACTCCTGTCGTGTCGTCGCCGGTCTCTTGGCGGGCCAACAGATTAACTGACAGTTCATAGTGTTCGAAACATCTTTCAGCATAACCAGTGGAGAAATGCAATCATGTCTCCTCAAGGGACATTTTAAAAATTGTTTTGCATTAATTAGAGTAGATAATTAATTCCTCCAAATACTTTAGTTCTTAAAATTAGTCAACAATGCATGTTTTCAGGCATTGCAACAAAGCTAGACAACTTTGGAGTAATATTGTGCCAGCTGAAATTAAGGTGGAATTTTATACAGTTGAGATTAAAGAGTGGATAGATTTGAACCTTTGCCATACTAGAGTGGAGTAGAATTTGGGTCGTGGGGTGCCAAACTCTATGGGGGTTGTTCGGAATAAGGAGATGCATGAAGATAAGTATGAGAGACCTTTTTGCCCTCTTAGGTATGTGTATGGAAGAATAACGGAATATGATGAAGCGATCATTAATACAGGTGTTGCTATGGAAAGAGAGAGAGTAATGAGATGGTTGTGCGATGGGAAACTCCTAAAAACAGGTGGGTTAAGCTTATTACAAATGGAACTAGTAGTGCTAATAAAGGTTCTGGGTATGGTGGAATAATCCGAGATACGAAGGAGGAGCATAAAGGTGGTTTCTATAAGAGTGTTGGAAAGGGTAATGCTTTGCGAGCAGAGTTTTCAGGAATTTTGGAGGGTCTGAAGCTAACGAGGGAACTGGGTTGGAGGAAAGTTGAGGTTTGTGTGGATTCGAAGACAGTTGTTGAAGTTTTAGAAGATGGAGGAACTAAAGGCATGGAAGGTTATGATTTGATTAAACAAATCCATACTTGCATGAAGTGGTATGAGGAAGTGAGAGTGGCTCATACGTATATAGAGAAGCTAATTCTTGCGCTGATGCTCTTGCTAAAGCAGGAATAGATAGCAAGAGCAGGTTACGGTTTTTCAAGAAGATGCACCGCACTTTCTCAAAGTTATGATAAATAGGGATGCTGCGGGGACTATTTTCCCTAGGTTAGCTGTGTAGTTTTTTTTCTTTTGGGGCGAAAGCCCCCTATTTAATCAAGAAAAAAATTAGTCAACAATCCCATCCAAAGTTTGTACCTAGTTGACTAGCTCTACACCTGTTCAAAATCAATTAGGTATTCTATGGACCTACGTATAAATAGAAAAAACCACAATGCATCAACAAGTTCTGTCAAAGTTTCTAATTAATACTGTGAAATATACTTGTCATTTTTTCGGGGGGTTAGAGGGCTTATTTTCTTCATTTACTAATAATACAGAAGTATATAATAATACCTGGTGGTATATTTTGGTAATGGCATCTGCACTTTGATAGTGTTTGCTGTTATACTTGAGGCAAACTCGGCACTTAATTTAAGAAGTACTTCTGCCTGCAATATCAAATTCAGACATGTTATTGAGTAAAATGAAAGCAACTTTAAGATAAATGGTGTTAAAATGATTAATACTATAACATGTAACATTGGAAAATTGACTTCATTTTTTTTTTGTTGCAATGAAGATATCCGAACTAAGAACGGGGATATGGGAACAGTGATCTCACAAGGGAAAGGAAAATTTTGAATACAACATCCTTGTAATTAACACATTTTGTTCCAATTAGATACATTGTAACACATCTATATAAGCTTATACAACAGATGTGGCAGAAGAATTTATAAAAAAGAACCATGACAATAATGCGTATCAGCTACTCTTGCAATTTTTCAGGAAAACAACAAAAAAAATAAGAAAAATAATATAAATATTGAAAAGTAGATGTCACCTTCAGGGACCCTGCCTCTTCAATCAAAGCATTGATACGGAAAGGAGGCTTAAATGCCTGGGTCATACGATAATTCATGACCGGAAATTCACCGTCCGGCGGTATCTAAAAATTGACAATCCAAGATAACTGTTACAATAATAATCAAAAGAAGAAGTACTTTTTGTATTTTGATTTTTTTTTTTAATCTTAAAAACTATTTCTGTACTCACCAGGGATAGAGTTCTGTTCGTATCAAAACTATCAAGACGAACAGATTCATGGAAATTGCAGTCATCTAATACCACTGCTCCTCCGGAGGAACTCCTATAACCTGCTCTAGAAACATTCAAAAATAAGTTTTATTGATAGACCACTGGATACAATTGTTTATACTAGTAACAGTATGAAACTCTACGAGACCTACAAAAACGATAATAAAGAACAGAAGAAATAGACATGATTCTTAATAAACATGGAAAAGTATTTATGAATATGAAAAAGTTGTTATCATATAAAACTCATTAATCAAAATCCATTAGATTAAGTATGGTTTACACTTGTAAAACTTAAAATCTGCAGATAAATTAATCATATCTGGCCAAATATTTTATCTTTCTTGAAATAGAAGAATTAAATCCTTAGTATGATTCTTTATTGGGAATGAGAACACAGCATTAAAAAACAAAAAGAACTGAAAAAAGTTACCGGAAACTGGTCCCTGGTCTCTTCCAATGGAAAGGTCTTCATTAAGAGCCAAGCGAATTTCAGGATTGCCAGTAAGATAGCTTTTCATTTGTATGGTTCCATCAATCTCAGAAGTCAATATATATCCCTGAGCCATGGAGAATACTAAGAATGACAAACAGAATATATGGCACAGGGTTCAAATCCTGGCAAGGGTGTAAATATACATACTAACAATTAGCCATCCAATAACCAAGCTTATCACACTAGGTAGCATTTCAAAATGGGAATCAACAAAAACAAAAAACCATTTTATGCTAGCTATTTACATGGATTAAACGCCATTTTGTCAAATATACCGGTTATATAAAGGTGTTCAGATCTACATCTGTTTCAGTGGCTTCTCTTAGAGTTTTCCTTGGCTTTCATCCACATCTATTTATTAGCCTATCTCTGTTAAATAAACTTTTCATAGTAGGGTATCTATCAATCTTTCGGCCACATGGATGAACCATCTTGGGTGAGAGAGATTCTGTTAGCTTTTCCTCTAAGGATGTTACTTTTAATTTCTCTATATACACTCAATCCTGACCTCATCTTTTCTAGTATGTGGATGTCCACTCCACTCATTTACCACAGCATTTTCATTTTGCATCACTTTGTACTCTTGCCAGAACTTCACCACCTAATATTCGCTACCATAAACATCACCGGTCTACTATTATGCATCACAAAAAAAAAAATACATCCAACAGTTACTCATTATGTTTCATCAAATCAATTTAGCTATTTAAGAGGCAAACAATAACTAAATTGAACTTTATAATTCTTGGCTCAGATTAAATAGGCTTCAAGTACTCAAGAATTAGGAATTAAATATGATCTCTAATATTGTGGCCCTCGGGATAGAGTTTTGTTTTGTCAGTTAAAATCCTGGAAGCCATAACCAAATCTACTACATCCATAAAACAGGAAAGATGAAGGAAAAATAGACCAATAAAAAATTCAAAGTCATATTATATGTATGTACTCACACTAGAGCTAAAAGTAATGCTGATTTTCTCAATTATATCTACAAAGATTTCCTCCCTCCTTCTACCCCCAGGCTCTGTTGCAACAACGGATTTTGTAACAGCTATTCCAGGCATTCTTTTTGTCCCCTGCTGCATGAAACAAAATCGAAGAATTACTATAATTTAAATGCAAGTCATAATCACAAAAGCTATTAAGTGCTTGAAATAAAAGATAATAAACATCATACTGAAAAGATTGCAGCAGGTCCAAGAGGTGACAGTCGGGCTGCATCAATTACAAGCGGCTCATTGAAAATATAGGACTTCAACAACTCTGTAGATGTTGTTTGCACATAACCGAAATCCTGGTTCAAATAATGACATCTATGTCAAAACAGGAGTAAAACATAATAAAAGATCAAATAGGCATTTTGCTGTTCTTTTTATAAGAGAGAACCAGAAACAACATCTATCAGAATCTTAGTATGGTTTGCATTTGCCTTTGCATTTTAACTCCATAAAAATATTAATAGTATATCTCTCAAACCTATCAGATGTTACAGATATTCAGAGTCCAAAAGAACACTTTGTATTTATAGCAAGAATCAATAGTGAGTATGAAGAGTAGATTTAAATACCAATAAAAGAGAGTCAACTAGGAGAAAACAAGAAAGTAGATAACTTAATTAAAAGAAGAAACAATACAGTTGAGTATAAGACTGGTTATATAAAAGTAAAGAATCAAATGGGGTAATGAGAGGAAGCTCACAATAACTTCATCAAGTAACTCGTACACCAGGACAAAGTTTTTCCGTAATGAGTCTTCATTGAGAATCCCAAGGTAATCTTTAATAACACGGGCAATTCTTTGTAAAAGCTCGAAGACAAAGGAAGGTGATATATTAACCCTTGTAGTTGCAACAAACAGTAAGCCAACAACTTTCACATGAAAGTAATTTACACCATCTACATTCTGTCAGCGAACAAATAACATGACACCAAAGAAATCAGCATATTCTACAAGAAGAGTTGCAAATATTTTTTAAATTTCAACATCATCAATTGTATTTTGTATTATGTTCTAAGGTGGCTAATGTTCCAATGAAAATAACCACATCATGTGATAGTGATAGAAAGGAAACAAGACGACACAATTATCTGTTAATATACATACATACTCGTTTCAAGACTAAATTATGTTAATATATACTCTTCCTGATTCAGAAAGATAATACCTACAAAGACAGGTGGTGCCTCCTGCAGTTCCCCATCTTCCCAAAATTTTACTTTGCGGAAAAATATCTCTGAACTTCCCTTTGGGACCTCACCGCGATCTGCAATAAAGAACATTAAGTAACAATAGCGACTGAGGGTTCGACACTCAAAGATTCAATTTCAAACATTAGGATAGAATCTGAATATTAGTTAATATAAGAACTCTCATATTATTGAAGAGTTATTATGATAATTAACATTCAAATTAAAGGTTCTCTTGAAATCCATATCCAGGAACAGGTTTCAAATTCTAACGAATATACTAATGTATTCGAAATTCCAACGTGTTTGAGCTCGTGCAACAAGATTTAAAAGCACATATACCTCATCAAAAATTCAGAATTCATACATTACGAAGGAAATTACGTTCATTTTCAAGATTTTCCTATGGAAAAAAATAGCTATTAGTGATTAGCAGACGAACAAGAAACGATTAAAGTAAGATCTAGATGCGTAAACTTGAATCGATAATCTTGATACGGATCAGCAAAAAAAACTAAAACACTACAGCTGATCATGAATCGATAGAAATATTGGATCATACAAATAACATCAGATCCAAAAGTAAAGAAAACAAAGAAAATTGCAATGGAAAAGAGTAGTTGAGAGAGAGAGAGAGAGACTGACAATCACGGAAAACGATGTTATCGCCACGCTGTGAAAGGACGAAGAACTGTGAGATCATGGCTCCGATTGAAGTTGCACGCACTTCCTACAGCTGTTGCTTTGGTTATGGCTAGTTTGCGAGCAACGAAGACGATAATAATGAACAAACGGTATTTCTTGCAATTACCGGTGTATAAATATATTTTCAAGGGAAAAAACGTTATTTAAATGATAGATGATAGATTTCTTAAGATATATTTTTCTAGGTAAAAATGATCAAATTCACACATAAAAAAAAATGTTAGATTGCCTTCAACATTGAATGAAAGAATTTAATTGAGATACGTAAAAAAAAAATTTATATTGTGAGTTAATTGTAATTGTTAAATTTTTTAGTAATATTTAACTTTTAGTCTAATAATCCATAAAATATTATTTTTGAATGGTTGTGATGTACTGAATGTATAAAAAAATTATATTTACAATACATATTAATTAATTTCTTAATGAAAAACCAAAATTCTCGATATATTTTGGAACACATTTCATTCGCACATGATTTATTCATAAGTGACTTAGATCATAATTTAATGTTAAAACATAATACAAAAATGTATATTCGTATAATTTACAAAAATGCATATTTAAACGGGTTTTTGATCAAAAACGTGTCACATTTCTTTAGAGTGTATTTTGACCCCACAGAAGCAAATAATATATACTTTTAGGCGTACGACGATCATCATCAGACGGATCCCTTCGAGGACATAGCCTTCTATAATGGACGGTTGGCTTGTGGGTCATGTTTGATATATCTGAAGGTAGAGAAAAATACAAGAAATAGGGGGTTTGAATTGGGTTTTAAAATCTTTTCCTCTTTTAAAAAACTATTTGATAAAACTATGAAAAAATATAGAATGCTAGAAATAAAAAGAGACACATTCGGTTTATCCAAGTTCACCTCTAACTAGGCTACATCTTGTCCACCCTCCTCAAGTGATTTTTCCTTCAACGAAGACTTAATCCATTATAACCAAATCTGATTACAATTTACCATAATAAGTTCGATCAACCTTCCTGACAACCCCAACAAGTTCAGTTGGTCCTTATTGTCATTTCTGCAAAGACTGCAGCCTATGTCTTCTTGAGAATCCTGACTCAACCAAGTCTCTCAAGGAACATCATAATGATACGTTCAGTGATCTCCACGAAATATAACGATCATTGACTCACCTAGAATTGGACCAACATGGTCTCCTAGAAATGATTTCATCCACAATGACCATAACCACTCATCTTCTTAAGTCTTCTGATCTTCACCCGATCACTTGAGAAACCACCAATTTTAAACAAAATTGTTTTTCTAGAGATTACATGAGTGTTTCTTATCAAGCATCTTGTTTCCAGTGATTTCTGGTAAACAACCGCTAGTCTTCCAAACTATCGAATAAACTTACTGACTGTTATTCAATTTCTCTGGTAACTCGCAAGATCGACTAGATTGATCCTAGGACTTGTTGGTCATTAGGGTAACTCTCATGATCGAACAGGTATTCATGGTTGGTATTTAGAGTGTTGTGTAGGTGTTTGACTTATTTCGATTTCTCTCTTAAAGATCTAAAGGTGTAGTCAAAATATATGTGCGTGAAACTAAATTGCATGAATAAATGTTAATTGTAAAGACATGTAAAATTGCATAAAAGACAAATAAATGGCTTCGAAACATAAAACAAAACAGTTAATGTAAAAGATTCGAAATGCGAAGAAAGCATTTAATGCAAGAAATCTGTAAAATGACTTTAAGTAAAAATAGGCGTTCGAAGGATAAAACTTGAAGATAAAGGCATGAAAAGTATGACAGTTTTCTGAAATGTAAAGTGTTTGAGATGGAAAGAAAGCATTTAAATGTAAGGCATCAATGAAAAGATTTCGAATAAAAAGACTTTAAATGAGAAAACTTGTAAATGGTATTTGGCAGAAAGATAAAGGAAAGTACTGGAAATGATAAAGGGTTTTCATTAAATCATAAATATGTGGTGTTATCATACGTACATTGCTCTTGCATTTGTTTCCCTAGCCATGTGGTAATTTGAATGTTTACTGAGTATTTAGTACAATAGATATGACACACGAAATCCTAATGCTAAGACTTCTATTTATACTACTTCGACCATAACGGTCTTGCTATAAGATTATGCCACATTCAGAACATACAGAGCAATGCCTCTCTCTTACTTCCACGTGTCTTCAAATGCTCCAGCACATAAATTTCAAACTTCGAATGTCCCGCTTGCATTTGAATTTCAAATGTTTTGGCACTTCTTTGCTTCGAACGCATTCCTTAGATACAGCCTTGTTGTCATTTCGAGACTTCTTTAGATATGTTCCCATAATTGCCACTCGAAGCTCCACGATTTGATATGCTCATTCAAAACACTGCTTCTGCTATTTCTAAACATGACGCTTTGTTTCATTTCGATCGAAACGTTCAATTCACTTGGCTTCTAATAATATTATCAAAATCTTCAGCCAACAAAATGCCCCCTTTAAAATATGTATTTCGATCTCTCTTGAGAAATACTTATTTTAAACATATACACAAGATTTTGATGTGACCTTCGAATCATCGTAACATTTAATGCATTTGACTCCAGTCACGTCAATCATAACATTTTTTAGATTCCTTAACCGCCTAGAACCACTTCACAGTATGGTGCAGTTACAAAACAATGATTATCTTTAATCACGCTTACTACCAATGTTAACTTTACGCCATCTCTTCATCAAACCAACCCATGATTTCCACGTATCACAACCTTATTCAGTGGATGCTTAAACTTCCACACTATAAAAACCATCAACTTAGTCTTTTTCTTTTCTTTCCACATTCTGAATCTTTTATCCTTCTTCTCTCACCGAAAAACCCTAAGCTTTCAACATTCTTCAAAAATGTCTTCTTCTACCTCATCCCAACTAAAAAAGGTTTCCAAGAAGAAAGGAAAGACTGCAGGAACTACCATGGAAAGTAAAGTTATCACTCACCAAGGTCAATCCGTTCTTGCTCCCCAGATGATCTCAAAGGAGAAAGAAATGCTTTATGCATCTCAGGTACTCATTCTTACCATCGTTGCTGGTAAGAGGTTAGCTTTAATGGGCCCTCTTACGGTTTTTGAAATTTTAAAAGATACCAGGAAAATTTTCCCAGTTTGCTATAGTTTCAAACCCTTGTTTAACAAAATGGACGCCCCTAATGCAATAGAATCTTCTGGCTCAAACACCATGGAAAATCCAATTGTTCCTCCTAAGGACCCTTTTGTATTAGACTATGTAAAGAGTAATTTTAAACCGTTTCGATCTTGCCCCACCTCCGACACTGCTTATCAAAATTGGTTCAATAAGGTAGAAGCTAAGAAATCCCAGCAATGGGAAGAATTAGGTATCTACAACTTGATTAAGCTGTCGAAACCTGGTTTCACTTACAGCCACCCTTTGTTATTCGCGTCCCTCTATTTCTGGGACAGTACTTATAATACTTTCCATCTCCCTGATGGAATGATTACCCCTACCTTCTTTGACATAGCGGCCATCACTGGGCTATCACCAGTGGGAGAAACATATATCCCTGACAACGAAGAACATTCGAGTATAATCGACTTCGAAGTCAAACTAGCAAGCTTTTCCAAGTTTATCAGCCATTATCATACTGAAGGAGACATTGTGTCTGATGTAGAACACATTGCTTTCCTTACCCTATGGCTGTCAAGATATGTTTTCTGCAGTAGATCCCTACAGGTAGCCAGTAGGTTTATTCCTCTAGCTAGGGATTTGCACGAGAATCGAAGAGTGTGCTTAAGTAAACTGCTCTTAGTTGACCTTTATGAAAGCCTAAGGTCAGCTGTTTCGAGCCTAAAATCTCATACCTCCAAGAATATCCTGTTGGCTGGCCCTTTTTGGTTACTTCAGCTATGACTAAATGCCATGTTCGAACCCTCCTTGTCAACTGCCAACACCATTGATGAACAAGACCCTGAGATAACTGATAGAATAGTCGAAGGCACTAGGCTGTGAAGATTAACTCCAAATGACGACAAAGATGACTTCAAAGTCCTATTCTCGAAGTACATCATGATATTCTCCAAGAGGCATAAGTTCGAAGAGACCATGGCGCCTTTTGCTTCGAGGGATCATGGACCTTCCTGGTTCACCATGGCTCTCTCAGAAGCTGTCAAGAGCAAGGAGATTCAAGATGTATGGAGAGCCTTTTTGCTACCTAGACTCATTTCTTCAAGAATAACTCCTGCCAAGAATCAGATTTTCCTTTTCGCTTACCAGCCAAATTTTGTTTCGAGACAGTTTGGCTTATGCCAACTAATTCCTGAACCCTTATTTCAAACTGAGAGTACCATTACCTCTGGGCGAACTTTCAAGGCACGGGAAGCAAAATTACAGCAAGAACAATACCAAGGCTTTGCCCAGTTTGAGCTAATAACCTTCGAACCTACCCATCTTACAGCTAAGGGATTTCTGGAATGGTGGACCAAGTTTTATCAAACTTATATGTTCGATACTCTTACAATTCAGCAGAAACTAATTGATGCCTTTGATGTGCAGGTACCAACAAAGAAAGGTATGTTTACTCATGCCAAAGAGATTAAAGCTTTTCAAAATTATTTTGAAACTACTTATGACCCCACACGCTTGGAATCCACTGTGCATCAAGCGGCTGAGACCTTGAAGGAAAAATTCAAACAAAAAGTTTCTAAGTTAAAACTTCCTTCAGGGTTGTCACCTGAGGATAGGTATAGGTTGGCATTCGAAATGCATCCACCTAAATTCCCTAGATTACCTACCTCAGAACTGGCTCTGGCTTGGTTTCCCCCATATCCTTGGTGGTTCACTTGCAAAGAGATGTTCAAACATCTTCAAAAGAAACCAAAGCCATCTGAGACTGTGACATGGGCTCGACACTGGCTCCACAATTTCCCAGGACACCTTCGATACGACCTTTCTGCCATGTCGATTAAATCTGATCAAGGCACAGGTGCGAATGCTTGGGAAAATCCCAAACATTTTTCATTT